GATGTAAGTAATGTTCTTCTTTTCCTGATGTTTATGCAAAGACAAGGACGACTTTCAAATCAATTTTTTCAAAAGTTGAGTCGAAACTGTGAACAATTTTCCACCAAATCAAACCGCGTATATGACTGGTTACAAAAACGACATTCTGTAAATAATTACTGTCATATAAAAGCAAACAAATAATCAATTTACTTTTGGGAAGCATAGAATCAAAGACAGCAAAACACCCAGTTTGATTTGTTCCTGAAACTCCCTTGTCGCATTATACTAGAGGCCCATGCACATGTAAGGTGGGAATGATCAAGAGAATTCACCACTTGTGTATTTCAATATGGGAAATATCAACCTTATCCTGTTAGTCGGTATTTCCCATATATGAAAACACGTTCATAATGAATCCTCTGTATATGTATTTTTCTGTGGTAACAAGAGGGACTTTGAGGTTATTATAACTTACAAATCTGCATAGCGTATTTGCACAAAAAATGCACACCATTTTTCACCTTTCATCATCCCATATGTGCAATAAGATATTGATGTCAATTCTTATGAATAGATACGTCAACAGACCGCTTATTCCATCATTAACACACAAGAAAGGAAGGCAACACAAGCCCTACCCATTCTATTATCAACCAATCAAGAAACAATATCAATATTTTTCTCGTTTATTGGGAACAATTAAAGAAAAAGCAGATATTTGCTTGGTTAGCGATTTTTATTTATTTTAGTACTATTACAATAAAAAAAAAAAAAATTCAAAATAAATGTTCCACTTTTCTGAGAATGACCCTTACCATGTATATCACCATCAGACAATTAAGAACTTGAGGTGAATCTAATTATGTGAAAGTCACTTTGTTGAAAAGTAATGCTCATGCTGTTAGTATACTTACATAAAGAAAGTAACCGGCCTGGTATAGTTGTGACGTGTTTAGTAGTGGTGTAGCAACACAGCCATACATATTGTATCGTAATACAAGCCCCACGATACAATATTTCAATTTATCATATAATGGGTGGGTTTCTCGGCAGGATAAAGCCAACGGATAAAAACAATATCCGTTGGGGGTCATATGCGGATAGAGATGCAAATATCAAAGGTCAAGTAGGGACTACTTTCAGTGTTTACAAACAAACATGGCGCCGCACTTGTCATTTGGCGATCGAGTCAGAATTAACCATCGGGAATCTGGATAAACTACAGGGATAATTGCTATCATTATCAAAAGAACAGTCAAATATACTGAAAATCAGTAACTAACTGTGATGTATCTAAGGCATTATATAACTTTTTGCAACTTTGGAGATATAAATTTCGAAACAATTTTGCGAGGGCACTAGGCCTAGCCAAGCGGGATCAGTAGCCAGATCTGTGCTTGTCGACCTCTGCGGATTGAAACCTTTTCCACAAATTAAAATGGTTGGATTTGGCCGACATATGTTTGAATTGTTACCTTGTTTCGTTTTGTCGCTGTTTGTACATCTGACTGCACTTAACGTTATGACAGGACAGACCGACTGTCAACAACGTCTGAACGTGGCCGTAGACTAGGGTTAGAGTAGCTTCCCTTTGACAAAGGGCAGTTACTCTTGCGGACAGAGCGATGGATTGCCGCAAAAGGCAAGTAAAGACAACTGTTGTTTTGCGTGTATGTTGCTTTGCCAGTGTATAAGAAACAGATTTTAGTTGGAGCTATATTGGCTACTGTCACTGTCCCACTGACACATCACTTACCCTGTGACGTAATAAATATTAATGCGCGCATTCCAGGAAAACTCGCAATGTTTCGGTAATGTTTGTGATAGAGGGAAAGCGATTTTGAAGCACAGAATTAAAGAATGACATTATATGATAAAGAGGTTATCACGATACATGCAATACATTTCATTACAAGCTACATATAGACGGCTAGTCAAAAAGTTATAAGCCTGACAAACAAAACCAACAATTGTGAAAGGGTTTTTAATTTTATTTTTCAATATAATGCCCCTGCTTATCAATACACTTCTCATATCGATAGTAAAGCTTTTTAATTCCAGTCAGGAAGAAGTTTTCTGAAGCCACCTTGAAAATCCCATTCACGGCAGCTTTGACATGTTTGAGGTCTGTCATCATAGTGCTTTCCACGAAGGTGTTCTTTCAGTTCTGAAAACAGGTGAAAAAATCACTTGGTGCAAGGTCTGGCGAGTATGAGGGTGAGGAACCCACATTGTCGCACAGCAGCCTTTGTGGAATGGTGCCATTCCATGGATCGATGTTTTTGCCTCGGGATAATAGTGGTAGACCCATGTTTGATCACCTGTTACTGATCTCATTTTGTATTTGATGAAATCCACCTCAATTAGCTCTAAAAATATCTGCTTGTTGGGTGCAAAAGTTTCTAAATTCTGATCTAAAATTTAAAGCAAATTTAGGAGGATTTTGTCAAATTCAAAAAGAGATTGGTAACAGGTGATGAAAGGGGTCTACCACTGTGATCTTAAGTCAAAACGTCAATCCATAGAATGGCACCATTCCACTTCTCCGCCACCAAAGAAATTAAAGTCTTCAAGATCAGTAAAGAAAGTTATGGCCACTGTATTCTGGGATGCAAAGGGTGTGATCCTTGTAGATTACTTAGAAAGTCAAAAGACGATTACTGGTGACCTCTATGCTGATATGCTTCATCGCCTGAGAGATTCTATCAAGGAAAAGTGGCAAGGAATGATGACTGCTGGGGTTCTACTATTTCATGATAATGCCTCTTCTCACACCTCAACTTGCAAAAGGCTGCTGTGTAACAATGTGGGTTTGAAGAGCTTCCTCACCCTCCATACTAGCCAGAACTGGCACCAAGTAATTTCCACTTGTTTCCTAAACTGAAACACCTTCGTGTAAAGCGTTATGATGACAACGATGACCTCAAAGCTGCTGTGAATGGGATTTTCAGGGTGGCTTCAGAAAACTTCATCCTGACTGAAATTGAAAAGCTTCACTATCAATATGAGAAGAGTATTGAAAAGCAGGGAGATGATGTTGAAAAATATAATTAAAAACACATTGAAAGTTTAACAATTGTTGGTTTTGTTGTAAGGCTCAGACCCTTTTGACTAGTCTTTGTACGCTTGTCAGAGGGGTACACAAAGTATGTGATCTAGACTACCAATTGTTGGACTTTCATTTCTTGGAAGTCTCAGTGGGTGAGACATTAACTTTGTTGGCTGGTGATTAGGTGCCTCACTCTGGCAGTGTGGGTTCAAATCCTGGATGGGACTCAACTAAAACAAAAAGTACTAGCATTTGTACTTTACTGAGAAAGTGTTATCCCAAATAAAACATTTGTTACATTTGACCACTTTCTAAATGGCATTATGTGTTCATGCAGGTGTTTAGATCAAAATTAGAATATTCATTTATGGATTGGCTGCATTTGAACCCCTCAAACTTGTATTTGGAGTTTTCAGCTCACACGATATCCCATGCTGATGAATCTGTGCGATAGTTGTAACAGTCATTAAGCCCATCTTTTAGGACATCAGGGATGTCAGCTGATTTGACATTGCCAAATTATCGTAATGACAATTGTCTTGGAAATCATCTATTGTGTTTGATCAAACTGTGCTGCACCACCACATCTTCTGGGACTTGTTTCCAGACTGTCTCGTCAACATCAGGTATGGGGCGGGGCCTTTCTTCCATTGTTGCTCTTGGTGTAGGTGTGAGTGCTGTTAATCTTCCAGTTCCACTCATTCCTGACAATGGATCTAATGGCTGCAGCAGGCACCAACTTTTGACACCCACCCACTAATCCGCCCAAAAAATAGGAACGTACATCTTCTCCTCCAGGCCTGTTCATCCACACTTTGTCAATCCACTCGAGCACAAGTGATTAAATCCATCAAGCTATTCTCTTGTACTGTGATCTAAACTCTCCTTCTGCATGGTTGTCTGTTTTAAGATGTTCTTGGGCATAAGTTTGGTGCCAACAGCAGTACACACTGACACCAAGATAAAATTCTGATTTTCCTCTCCACACGTGCGAACTGTCACTGTTGAAATAACCCTGATCCTGATGGTGACTGGCATGTGAAAGTTGAGCAGGGTTTCGTCCATGTTCCAGATTATTTTCTTCAACTATCCTGTGCGATGTGTGTCTTCTGCCTTATTGTCAAGTTGTAATGTCTCAGGAAACGTGAACAGTTTCCAGATCTGACAGAATGTGTGTTAAGTAAAAGTGTAAGAATACATTTTAAGCTTGTTGAACATTTTGTTGAGTTTTTCATCATATTCAGTGTTAATGGTAAAGCTTTAACATCTTAGATCACTAAGGCACAGTAAGACAGAAGTGAAAAATTGAACATGGTTTTCCTAATGGTCAACTTTTGAATTTGAATTCTGTAGAGGTCTCGAGGATAAGGGTGTGTGGTTTTTTTAGATATTATACATTCTTTGGCGACTGACCACTTAGTCCTTAAAAATGACCTTGTGATTCTCTCCATTTTCTCACATAATTACTTTGAACTCTACACAGGTCTACAGAAGTTCATAAGCTTCACCTGCATTAAAAGCTCTTTTATTTTTACATAATATGTCATCAACATAATACTGTAGTTCATTCACAGAGTAAGACTTCAGCAACCCATGCTTGTCGTGAGAGGCGACAAACGGGATCGGATGGTCAGACTTGGTTGATGCATGTCATTGAATCCCAGTTACAGTGAGTGAGTGAGTGAATATTGCTTAACGCCGCATCAGCAATTTTGCAGCTATTCGCGGCGAGAATCCCAGTTACACAAATTGATGCTCATGATGTGCAACTCAATGACTGGATTGTCTGGTCCAGACAGGATTATTTTCAGAACGCTGTCATATAGCTAGAATATTGCTGAGTGCAGTGGTAAACAATAAACATACAAAGATTTCATGATTTCAAGAATTGTTAGATGAGCTACAGGGCCAAAGATCTTTTGTGTGGAAAGTATGTGTTGCTAATATGTTTTATTCTTTTGTGGCCTAGAATGAGGTGAACAGCTTGTCTGATGTTGAGAAGTTGTTGCTTTACCTAAAGCTTCCTACAGGAGCCAGTCCAGATGACAGCCTACGCCAGTAAGGAGAATGTTTATCCTTTTTCCTTTAGTTATCTTGAACCAATTAACTGTCCACATTAGCCAATAATTCCTTCGAATATTTTTTCTCTATTACATCATATCAATAATTCCTGTATTTTGGTGGTCATCACACTATTAAATCTTCAGATATTTCAACAGACCTCTTCTTCAATGTCATCTAACTACCATAGTCGGAGTGGACCCCCTTACCACACTTCCAACACTTCTTGTTTCCTGCATAAGCGAGGTATGGGAACACCTCGGCACACAATCGTTATCCATGCTATTATGGCCGATCTTTTTGTTCCAAAGGGCAATAACACTCCGGTCGAACCTCTCGCTTCTGGTCTGGTTCCTGGATCAATGCGCGCTGCGACAACTAGTGACATGTAGAGACGGAGCCAAACTAACACATTACCCTGTTGCACCTTCATTCAAAAAGGATCATTTACAACTGAATATTTTTAACTAGCACATATTTTGCAGTGATCTTTTGTTTAAAATATCAACATTTGTTGAGGCTGCAACTAAAAGACAAATTATCACGATGGAAGATGGTGGGAAAAACACCATGAAAATCGTCATATTGCCATGGTATTTTCCATGTCGGAAAACAGTGAAGCATTCTCTAATGCGAACTCGTTTTATTTATCAGCCATTGTGTTATTTCCAATGACAAATCCAAGCATTCAAGCATTCAAATCTTTACAAATCGTTTGCATACTACCATGGACTTCAGTGTAATAAAATAGGAGATACGCCTACATTTGCAGCACACAGACATCTTTGACAGGCCTTTACCACTGATCTATAGTTAGTATACATCTATGCCTATACAAATAATTGAAGAAGAAATAACTTTCAGAATAAAACAACTGATTCTAAATGTTACTTTTAAATACAAATTTCCTATTTTATCTGATTTTTAAATTTTAATTTTGACATTATGTTTTAGAAATATGCCAAATGAAAATCTACCATGCATCTATCAGGCACTCAGTTGCAATATACTTACCAGTCATCCTACTTTGAATTAAGAGATTTACCCCTATGATTCTGCCCCTTATACATGTGTCCTACCTTTGAGTGCTTTGAGTCATCACGTGTTAATTCATTGATCCATCATTTCTTACCGAATCTGATACTCGTGCCCTTAAAATAGTAGTTAGTTACAGAGATTTGACCAACAAACAACAAATTATACTTACTACCCCACAAGATGTGTATGATACATAAATACATGTGTAGATGTAAATCATACTGACTACCCCACAAGATGTGTATGATACATAAATAGATGTGTATATGTAAATCATACTTACTACCCCACAAGATGTGTATGATACATAAATACATGTGTAGATGTAAATCATACTTACTACCCCACAAGATGTGTATGATACATAAATACATGTGTAGATGTAAATCATACTTACTACCCCACCAGATGTGTATGATACATAAATACATGTGTAGATGTAAATCATACTTACTACCCCACCAGATGTGTATGATACATAAATACATGTGTAGATGTAAATCATACTTACTACCCCACAAGATGTGTATGATACATAAATACATGTGTAGATGTAAATCATACTTACTACCCCACAAGATGTGTATGATACATAAATACATGTGTAGATGTAAATCATACTTACTACCCCACCGGATGTGTATGATACATAAATACATGTGTAGATGTAAATCATACTTACTACCCCACCAGATGTGTATGATACATAAATACATGTGTAGATGTAAATCATACTTACTACCCCACAAGATGTGTATGATACATAAATACATGTGTAGATGTAAATCATACTTACTACCCCACCAGATGTGTATGATACATAAATACATGTGTAGATGTAAATCATACTTACTACCCCACAAGATGTGTATGATACATAAATACATGTGTAGATGTAAATCATACTTACTACCCCACCGGATGTGTATGATACATAAATACATGTGCAGATGTAAATCATACTTACTACCCCACCAGATGTGTATGATACATAAATACATGTGTAGATGTAAATCATACTTACTACCCCACCAGATGTGTATGATACATAAATACATGTGTAGATGTAAATCATACTTACTACCCCACAAGATGTGTATGATACATAAATACATGTGTAGATGTAAATCATACTTACTACCCCACAAGATGTGTATGATACATAAATACATGTGTAGATGTAAATCATACTTACTACCCCACAAGATGTGTATGATACATAAATACATGTGTAGATGTAAATCATACTTACTACCCCACCAGATGTGTATGATACATAAATACATGTGTAGATGTAAATCATACTTACTACCCCACCAGATGTGTATGATACATAAATACATGTGTAGATGTAAATCATACTTACTACCCCACAAGATGTGTATGATACATAAATACATGTGTAGATGTAAATCATACTTACTACCCCACAAGATGTGTATGATACATAAATACATGTGTAGATGTAAATCATACTGACTACCCCACAAGATGTGTATGATACATAAATACATGTGTATATGTAAATCATACTTACTACCCCACAAGATGTGTATGATACATAAATACATGTGTAGATGTAAATCATACTGACTACCCCACAAGATGTGTATGATACATAAATAGATGTGTATATGTAAATCATACTTACTACCCCACAAGATGTGTATGATACATAAATACATGTGTAGATGTAAATCATACTGACTACCCCACAAGATGTGTATGATACATAAATACATGTGTAGATGTAAATCATACTGACTACCCCACAAGATGTGTATGATACATAAATACATGTTTATATGTAAATCATACTTACTACCCCACAAGATGTGTATGATACATAAATACATGTGTAGATGTAAATCATACTGACTACCCCACAAGATGTGTATGATACATAAATACATGTGTATATGTAAATCATACTTACTACCCCACCAGATGTGTATGATACATAAATACATGTGTAGATGTAAATCATACTTACTACCCCACCAGATGTGTATGATACATAAATACATGTGTAGATGTAAATCATACTTACTACCCCACCGGATGTGTATGATACATAAATACATGTGTATATGTAAATCATACTTACTACCCCACAAGTTGTGTATGATACATAAATACATGTATAGATGTAAATCATACTTACTACCCCACAAGATGTGTATGATACATAAATACATGTGTAGATGTAAATCATTCTTACTACCCCACCGGATGTGTATGATACATAAATACATGTGTAGATGTAAATCATACTTACTACCCCACCAGATGTGTATGATACATAAATACATGTGTAGATGTAAATCATACTTACTACCCCACAAGATGTGTATGATACATAAATACATGTGTAGATGTAAATCATACTTACTACCCCACCGGATGTGTATGATACATAAATACATGTGTAGATGTAAATCATACTTACTACCCCACCAGATGTGTATGATACATAAATACATGTGTAGATGTAAATCATACTTACTACCCCACCAGATGTGTATGATACATAAATACATGTGTAGAATACTGTAGATGTAAATCATACTTACTACCCCACAAGATGTGTATGATACATAAATACATGTGTAGATGTAAATCATACTTACTACCCCACAAGATGTGTATGATACATAAATACATGTTTATATGTAAATCATACTTACTACCCCACAAGATGTGTATGATACATAAATACATGTGTAGATGTAAATCATACTTACTACCCCACCAGATGTGTATGATACATAAATACATGTGTAGATGTAAATCATACTTACTACCCCACCAGATGTGTATGATACATAAATACATGTGTAGATGTAAATCATACTTACTACCCCACAAGATGTGTATGATACATAAATACATGTGTAGATGTAAATCATACTTACTACCCCACAAGATGTGTATGATACATAAATACATGTGTAGATGTAAATCATACTGACTACCCCACAAGATGTGTATGATACATAAATACATGTGTAGATGTAAATCATACTTACTACCCCACAAGATGTGTATGATACATAAATACATGTGTAGATGTAAATCATACTGACTACCCCACAAGATGTGTATGATACATAAATAGATGTGTATATGTAAATCATACTTACTACCCCACAAGATGTGTATGATACATAAATACATGTGTAGATGTAAATCATACTGACTACCCCACAAGATGTGTATGATACATAAATACATGTGTAGATGTAAATCATACTGACTACCCCACAAGATGTGTATGATACATAAATACATGTTTATATGTAAATCATACTTACTACCCCACAAGATGTGTATGATACATAAATACATGTGTAGATGTAAATCATACTGACTACCCCACAAGATGTGTATGATACATAAATACATGTGTATATGTAAATCATACTTACTACCCCACCAGATGTGTATGATACATAAATACATGTGTAGATGTAAATCATACTTACTACCCCACCAGATGTGTATGATACATAAATACATGTGTAGATGTAAATCATACTTACTACCCCACAAGATGTGTATGATACATAAATACATGTGTATATGTAAATCATACTTACTACCCCACAAGTTGTGTATGATACATAAATACATGTGTAGATGTAAATCATACTTACTACCCCACAAGATGTGTATGATACATAAATACATGTGTAGATGTAAATCATTCTTACTACCCCACCGGATGTGTATGATACATAAATACATGTGTAGATGTAAATCATACTTACTACCCCACCAGATGTGTATGATACATAAATACATGTGTAGATGTAAATCATTCTTACTACCCCACCGGATGTGTATGATACATAAATACATGTGTAGATGTAAATCATACTTACTACCCCACCAGATGTGTATGATACATAAATACATGTGTAGATGTAAATCATACTTACTACCCCACCAGATGTGTA